GCTATGGATTCCTTCCAGACTAATATGGTTTGATCAAGCAAGACCCCCACCCCCACCCCAAGCAGTGACCCAACTGATACTACATCCAAAACAGCTGAGGTGATGCAGTCATAGATGACTACTGCCAGATTTCTTTGTTTTATCATGATCCCCATGGTATTGACATCTCCCCCAAGCAACAGGAAGCAGTTTGGAATGAACAACGCCCACATTCCCAAATATTGTTTATAAATGTTTGTTTTCATTTAAATGGGGTTATAAATGGTAATGATCACAATCAATCTCTTTTTAAAAGGAAAAAAGGGGAATAGGATATAGGAATGAATACTTTGCATTGGTAAGGATTTTCATTTATTGATACAAATTTTAGGTCAATTTTGTGATATGCATAATTAAATACAGATTATGTAGTCACCTATAATAATCACAACTTACACTTAGGTTAGTTAGGTCTTCTAGATAAACAGAGATGTATTTGAGATAGATATTCTTCAAACCTTTCAAAGACCTACAGAATATATAACATTTAAATGGTTTAGGGTTTTTCTTGACAGTGAGACACAGCTGCTCCTGGCACACCAATCAGTCAGAAAGGAGGATAGGCATGGAAGAAACTCAATATGGAGTTTGCTTTCAACATGGCAAGATTAGCCATTTGGGCAAGAAACTGCTCTTGCCTGGACTGTTTGTTGCTATATAAACTGGACATACAGGACCACAAGAAAGTGACTGCTGAACTTACAAAACAAGACAGTAGTACTAAAGGGTTCCTGCTGAAATGGAGAAGTTTGCCAGACATACTGTGGCCTATGGACTGAAGATGGATGGCCCAACAGTACAGAGGAACTTTGGGTGACTGTCCAGGTAGCGAAATGTCTCTGTCAATTCAAGAGTTTACATATTATCCTTCTGCTTCTTTTTACCCTACAAAGTGCCTCTATTACTGTTTTCCCATTCCTGCAATTTTCCCCAAACATGATTTTCTATCCACTATTCCTGCTCAAGAGCAGATTATGACACCCGAGTACAGTGACTCATGCCTCTGGAGGTCAAAGCAGGAAGATGAGTTCAAGGACAGTTTTAGACACATGGCTAGTTTGAAAAATAGCCGATACCCTGTCTCACAGAATGACTATGCTATGACTCAAGAGTAGTCAGGACTGTCGGGTGATGGTGGTGCAGGCCTTTAATCCCAGCATTGAGAGGCGGAGGCAGTCAGATCTCTGTGAGTTCAAGGCCAGCCTGGCCTACAGAGCTAATTCTAGGACAGCCAGAGCTATTATACAAAGAAACCCTGTCTCAAAAAACAAACAACAAAAGAATAGTCAAGACTGGAGAGGTGGTTCAGTGGTTAAGAACACACAATGCTCTTGCAGAGGACCTGGGTTTATCCTAGTGCCTATATCAGGCAGCTAACAACTGCTAGTGATTCTAGCTCCAGGTGACCCGATGATATCTCTGGCCTTTACGGGCATTGCACTCACATGTAAACACCCACACTCAGACACATAAATCAAAATAAAACATCTTTTTGAAAAAGCATAATCTGGTTCTTACTGTCAAATCTTTTTGCCTAGCGTTCAAGGATACAACTTGGCCCCAGTCTATCTCACCAAGAGTCATCCACCTGTCGCTAACATTGCTCTTAGCTGAGGCCCTAATGGCATAATAAGACACTCAAGAGGCTACTTGGTGGAAAGAGAACAGTTCCTGGAGGGGAGTGAATCTGGTGGGGAGTCAAACCCTAGGTGTTTATCAGTTGGTGGCCATGGGCAAGTCATTAATATTTCTGGGCTTCAGTTTCCATGTCTGTATTGTTAAGAACAATAATACAGCTACTCAAATTCTTCAGGGTAGCCGAGCAGTGGTGATGCAAGCCTTTAATCCCAGCACTTGGTAGGCAGAGGCAGGTGGATTTCTGTGAGTTCGAGGCCAGCCTGGTCTACAAAGCTACAGAAACCCTGTCTCAGAAAAAAAAAAAAAATTCTTTAGGGTAGCTCTTTCATTTTTGCCTAGTCTTTCTTTACTGCTCTCTGCCTGAATAAAGTGCCCCTTTTCTTCCACTCAAATATCCCATTTCTCATCTGGGCGGTCCACCCTAGCAACAAAACCCCTTTTCTATGAATTATAGAAACATGTGGCTCTTAGCCTGTGTGTGCTAGCCTTCTGGGGTAGGGGTTCAGAAGTACTGCTAGGGGCCCTGAAATATTTCACTAGACAAAAGAGTAAGTGTGAACATTAAATAATATACTCTGCAAATGCATATATGCATATATATATATATATATATATATATATATATATATATTTGTTTTTTTGAGACAAGTCAGTGCCTAAGACTGGCTGATTGAAGCTGTGCTTTAAGGTCATCAACCACCAAGTCTATGACCCCAACTTCAGTTGTGCCGGCTCACCCCAACTCCCTCCAGGCTGTGGTTGGAGCTTTTTTTTTCTTTTCTTTTCTTTCTTTTTTTCTTTTTTCTTTTTTTGGTTTTTTGAGACTGGGTTTCTCTGTGTAGCTTTGGAGCCAATCCTGGCACTCGCTCTGGAGACCAGGCTGGCCTCGAACTCACAGAGATCTGCCTGCCTCTGCCTCCAGAGTGCTGGGATTAAAGGTGTGTGCCACCAACGCTGGGCTCCAAAAATTACTTTTAAGTATTTCTTAATTTCTAATTTGTTCTTTCTTCATCAAGGGTTACTAAAATCATCCTGGGGAAATGAAAATCTCTCTCACTGGAGAGTAGTGGGAGCCTGCTATAAGGCTTGTTCTCTATACATTGATGGTATAGATTGTTTTCCTTAGCCTTTTCTTTATTTATATGCTTCCTCAATCACTGGATCACAACACTGATCAAAACATACCACTTATTTGAATTTCACCTACCCAGTGATTCTCATACTGCATAAGCTTGAAACTATCACTTAGCTGTAAGCATGGTTTGAAGCTGCTTTTGGTCCAGAGAAAGGAGATGAGGCATTGTCCATGTTGGGACACTTGCACTCAGATCTGTCTTGAACCAGTCCTGACAGTAAAGAACAATGGGCAGAACAGAACCAGCCTTCTTTGTATCATCAGGGCCTGCTTAGAGATCCCTAGGTCTAGTAAGTAACAGATCTCAGTGGAAATTTCCCATCTTCCGTCCTCCCAAGCCCCTGTGTCTGCCCCTTATCAGGTTCCCCCTGAGTCATCCTGACCCAGAGACGAATTTAGATGCTGGAACCTTCCAGTCTATCCCTCCCCCTCTCCAAGTACAGCTACTTTGGACACGTGAAAGAACCCTTCAGGCTGCAGCGCTCACTAAGTCTGGGTTCTCTTGATCTCTACCTGCCACCAGGGCTGTGGAGTTCTTATCACTCATCTGTGGCTGTGATCTTAATCCCAGCATTCTCTTGTCCAGGAGAGCATTAAACCTGAGCGAAGGGGCTAGGCAGAAAGCTAGAGTGCCAGGTTTCTGTGCCAGTTTCTAGGGCAATACTTATGAAGGGAGCAGGAGAAAAGAACAGATGAAAGCTCGAGGCTCCATTTGGGGGATATAGGAAGCTCTTTAGGTCTAGGGTGTTTTTTTGAAGGCTGGGTTTGAGCCTATCCAGGTCTCCTCCTCCTCCCTCTTGGCCTCTCCTTCTTTCCAACAGACCTGCCAAGTGGGGATGAAAGGGGCATTGATGTTCCTTGGGGAGGGGGGTTGTGGGTGGTGAGGGTAGTTCCCAGGCAGGGGGAGGGCAATTTGGGGGTCTTGGGGGTGCAGTCTGTGCTGGTGTTGCAGTTGGCAGCTCCAGTTCCATTGGACATTGTTTTCAACTGGCCTGGCGCCCAGCCCCCGAAATGGCAAGTCTGGAACTAGGCTGAAGGGGGATGGGGTAGGGTTGATCCTGGGAGCAGGGGTGCAAGAACGAGGGCATGTGGGGAAATTCAATCTGGTTGTCTAACAGAACTTTCAATCCCCATAGCCCCATCAACTATTCCACTCCAGCAAGCCTTCCTTTAAAGAGCACAGGGAGGGTGTGTCTCAGATGTGAAACTTGTGGAAGCCTAGGATAGGATGGTAAAACCACCTAGGCATGCGAGTCGGCCTAGAAGACAGTAGCTCAGGAGACATCTGCAACGAGGCACTGCCACTCAGTCTTTCTGAACAGATCTCGCCCTCCTTTTCGGGGTTGGACTGGGAGGGGTTAGCGCCTCAGCCACAGGGTCTCTTGGGTCTCAGCCCAGGACATCCAGTCCTCCTCAAATCCTTACTCCACCCCTGCAGGGTTAGCTCCGCCTCCGCGCCTGTTTACACAGGAGTCAGAGCCCTTGGGGGGTCCCCAGCCCCTCCCCTACGCCCACCCCGCCCCCCGCGTTGGGGCCTTGACCCGGGAGTCGCTGTTGGCCATCATCTTTCCCCTCCTTCGTTCACCCTCTATTTATAGCGGCCCCCAGCATTTCCATCCCCCCCTTGCTTGTTGTCCAACTTCTCACAGAGCAGCCGGAGAGCAGGCGGCGGGACTCGGCTGAGAAGGTACCAGCACCCCACGCGCTCGGAATTCCTGCGCCCTCGACGCCCTGTCCCCAGACACGCTGGCACCACTGCCCCTACCTGCCCGGAGACCGGGTCTGAGCGGTGGCCCTCGCCCACCTCCCCCTTCCTTGACCTAGCTCTCTGCTGCCGGGCGGGCGGGGCTGAAATCGTGGGACGTGGGCACCTTGTGTGGGCCTCCCCGCTCTATCCGTCGCCGCCCTCAATCTGGGGGGCTAGGAAGAGAGCCAGAAGTGAGCCTGGCAGGGCCAGAGCACAGTAGGGGGCGCCGTTGAGGTGGGCGTGGGGTCATTTGGAGGCTTAGGGGGTCCCCACGCGCCCCCAACTCCACGCGGCTCGGGATTGTGGGGAGCACCCGAGGGAGAGCCTACGGGCATCTCCGCAGAGTGCTCCCTAGCCTCCCTCCCCTTCTCGCCCATCCTCCAGCGGCCGGGAGGGCGAGGTAGCGGGGCGTGTTTATGGGGGGCGGGGCGGATCTGCAGGGAGATGGCCCAGGGGCGGGCTCGGGGCGGGTCTGTGGGGAACCGAAGCTTGGGCGGACCTAAGTCAAAGGCAAGTGAAGGTGGCAGCGACCGCGGCGGCTGCAGCAGGTAGGGGGAGGGGCAAGCGCGCCGCTGGGCTGGGAAGGCGCCTGGGCTGGGAAGGCGGGGGCCAGCGGGCCGGGAGGGTGGGCTCTGCGGTCCTGGTCCCGGGGCTGCGGCTCCGGGCAAGGCGCTGGCCAAGAGAGGCGCTCCGCTGCTGCGCACAAAGGCGGAGGCGCTACGAAGTGCAGGGCGTGTTTGGGGCACTCTTGAGATGGTGTCCAGGGTCCTGGGCGCTACGTGTCGGTCGTGCGAGGGTGTTGGTCCAGACGAGGACCAGCCGCCAGGGACTCAGGGGGACAGGCTTCGGGTTATGGGAGCGGCCAGTCACAAGTCCTACCCATCCTTTCCCAGCTGGCACATGAAGTCGGGGAAGTCCTGAGGTTACGGGACTGCCCTGTCCCCCTCGGCTTTCTCCCCTAGACCTCCAGCTAGACTGGGTGGAGGAGAGATACGAAGGCTTGAAGCTTGTTTGTTTTTAAATGGTGGAGGAAAACGTCACTCTGTATTACCTACGTATCAACTGAGAGCTGACACAACTGAGTAGTAACCGACCGGGCAAGGTCACATGCTAGTGGCAGTAGGATAGGACCCAGAGGTTCTGACACAGTCATGCTCTGTCCCCATGTCACCACCACTCCCTTCTCTCCATACCCTGCCCACTGTGGACCTGCTTGTGTTGCCCCGCAGGCCCCTCCAGCTTGTATTGATTGAAGTCTGGAGAGGACGTGTTCTCTGGGCTCAGTGGAGATTAGGAAGGGTTAGTGAACCTAGGAGTCTGGGTCTTGGCCGTGGCGGTATGTCCCTGAAAGACCCAAGTCTGTTTCCCATGTCATTCACCTTGTTCTTGTGTTTCCTCAGACCCCAGAGTCAGGACTAATAAGAACCCTGACCTCCAGTCTCACCGCACCCGACCAATAGGAGCTCAGTAAATTGACCCCACCCACCCCAAGCGACAGGCTTCTTTCTATACAGGTCTGTACAGGGGCTCTGCTGCTCTCCAGACCTCAGTGTTGATGTACGCCCATTTACTTGTAGTTGGAAGGGAGAGTTTTGAGTCACCAGAGAAAGGGATCCGTTAGTTGGATTTTGGATATCTATGTCCCTCTGTTGAGTACTTCCAGTTGGTCACTGCCTTAGTCATTTTTAGGCCCTCCAGATGCTGACATTGGAGCTATGGTTGAAGGTCATAGTGCATTGTGAACTCTCACTGCACTATCCCTTGGTGCACTTAGAGTGTTCCCAATTAGGGAACTACAACAGGGCGTGTGGGTGTCCCCTAAATGTAGCTTAAGAAGCCAGAGCCACATTGCTTCCCCACCCTGGGGGGGGGGTTCCTCCAGGATAGTAGAGGGTGTTGTGGCTTATCAAGAGGGAGGATCACCTGGGGGTGTGAGTGTTAGAGGTAGAGGACAGAGATGTGCTGTCCTGATTTTGCCATCTTTTGCAGTCTTCCTAGTTAGTTACCCTGGAAGTAGGGTAGGGGAGCCAGAAAAGCCCTCTGTATCTCGGAGTTTTCAGCTCTGGGGTACCTCTGCACCCCGCATTGACCTGGGCTGAGAGTATAGAGGAGGAGTGAGGTTGAGCAGCCTCCCAGGCTTGCTGTCTTTCTTTCTTTTTTGGGGGGGGCGTCCGAGGCAGGGTTTCATTATGGCTTTGGAGGCTGTCTACTCACTCTGTAGACCAGGCTGGTCTTGAACTCTGCCTCCTGAGTGCTGGGACTAAAGGTGTGCACCACCACTGCCTGGTTCGCTCTTTCTTCCTTTCTTTCTCTCTCTCTCTCTCTCTCTCTCTCTCTCTCTCTCTGTCTTTTCAGACAGGGTTTCACTGTGTAGCCCTGGCTGTCCCGAAACTCACCCTCTAGACCAGGCTAGCCTTGAACTAACAGAGATCCCTCTGCCTCTGCCTCCTGAGTGGTGGGCTTAAAGGCATGTACCACCACTGCCTGGCTGGTTTATTGTTGTCTTGTCCTGCCAGGCCACCATGGCAGAGCTGCAGGAGGTTCAGATCACCGAGGAAAAGCCACTGTTGCCAGGACAGACGCCTGAAACTGCCAAGGTTAATGGTGACTTTTTGACTTCCCTGCCTCAATCCCATCCTCTGAAAAGTCCCCGTTGCCTCCCAGCTTCCCCAGGCCCATGGCTCTCATTCTAATGCACACCCCACCTTTGTCCATCCCCTCCCATCTCCTGTCCTAGACACTGTACAAGAGAGCCCAGACCTTATCACCACTAACCTTCACCCTCTCCTGTCTCCTTCTTGTCAATCTTTCTGTGTCTGGTCTCTGTTGGTCTCTCTGTGCCTACCTGTTTGTGTCTGTCTCCATTTGTTATTCTTTGTGGTTGTGTGTATCTGTCTGTGTGTATCTCTCCAGGAGGCCGAGTTAGCTGCCCGAATCCTCCTGGACCAGGGACAGGTAACTGTGGGGACAGTGCCAGGGGGGGAGGACATGCTCTTCTCTCCCCCAATATTGAGAGGGCCCCAATCTGACTCTTTACAGTTGTTCCCACTCCCCATCCTTCTCTCTTCCCTTCTTTTTCTGTCCTTTGAGTTCCTTAATTTCTGGTCTTTCATTATTTTCTACCTTCTGACCCAATTCCACTGTCATGTTTTCCTAAAACCCATTGATCCTGTTTTTAACCAATTGTTCACTTCTTTTTGCCTTTCCCCCTTTTGAAAAATTTCAGTGTATTTTCTCCCTGATGGTGACCTTTTTTCTTACAGACTCACTCTGTGGAGACACCTTATGGCTCTGTGACCTTTACCGTGTATGGCACCCCCAAACCCAAACGCCCAGCGATATTCACCTACCATGATGTAGGACTCAACTGTAAGACCTTCATTGCTTCTCTTACTTCTTTCTGGAAGGAGGCAGGGGAGGGGAAAACCCAGTGTGTAGGGGGTGGTGGTCACTACGATCAGGCAGGGAGCCCAGTGACACAGCAGAGAGAATTTCTCCTCTAGTTTAGCTGGCATCAAAGCTAGGATGGGCTCTGGCACAAGGACGCTTTTTACTTCTGATTTTGTTGTTGGGGGTATGTGGATTCTCTTTAGATAAATCTTGCTTCCAGCCACTGTTTCAGTTCGGGGATATGCAAGAAATCATCCAGAACTTCGTGCGGGTTCACGTGGATGCTCCTGGGATGGAAGAGGGGGCTCCTGTGTTCCCTTTGGGGTAAGACTTAGTTCCGTCCACACCCCTTTTCGTAAGCAGGTGTGTGGGGGTGGGGTGAAAGGGCGTGTGCAGTGCATTAGAGAGGAAGAAAGTGAAGGAGGCAGAGAGGGCTCTGGCACAGGATATGGAGGTACATGGGGGCAGATTGGTAACTTCAGCATCTCTCTTTTCTAGGTACCAGTACCCATCTCTGGACCAGCTGGCAGACATGATTCCTTGCATCCTGCAGTACTTAAAGTGAGAGGCCCCAGAGGAAGGGCAGTGGGCTTGGAATATTGACTATCACAGTAGTCTCATTACTGAGTGAGAGAAAGAGGATGAAAGGGTTTGTACTTGGCCCTGTCTAGGCTTAGGGGAAGTATCTCGGGTGCAGGCAGGAGGCTTGCAGCAGGCGGGAGCTGATATCTAGACTATTAATTGCTACTTCTGTAATAAATGATAAAGACTCGCAGCAGGGAACTTTTTTTGATCTTGAAATTAGGCAAGAAGAGGTCCAGGTGATCTCATTCCCAAGGAACTAGATAGACCCGTCTTGGTCCCCATTCCTGTCTTCCTGAGTCACATTTGGGAGCCAGGTGTGGAAGACAGTGGTGGGCAGAAGATCAGTCTTACAAGGGCCTCTGGCCTGTGGCGGAAGATGCTGGGTGTTCTCTCTCTCTCTCTCTGACTTACTTATTTTTATTCGATGTGTTATGAATGTTTGCTTACATGTATGTATGCACGCCATATATATGCCTGGTGCCCACAGGGGCCAGAAGAGGACATTGGAATCCTTGGAACTTGAGTTATAGATTTTATGAGTCACCACGTAGGTACTGGAAATCCAATGTGTGTCCTCTGCAAGAGCAGCAAGTGTTCTTGACTGCTGAGTCATCTTGCCAGCCCCTGATTCCTGAGATCTTTTCTTAGCCTAGCTTTTCCTGGGCACCCTGGCTCTCAGCGACTGTGGCTTACTTCCTTCCCTGTCTCCTTCATTCTTCCGAGTCACTAACATCACACCTGTTTCATAGTTTGCTTTAAGGTCCATAGTTTCCGTTCCTCTGTGGAACCAGGACTCAGAACAAGTTTGAACTTGTTTCCAAGAGTTGAGAATGAATGAGCTGTGTGTGTAGGAAGAGATGTGTGGTTCTTTTCAAGACACTAGTTCTCCGAGAGGAAGTACAGGCATTCTTGGGCCTTTCTTTTTACATGCCTGAAGGAAAGGCCTTTGCTATCCCCTTTGGTGGCTGTGACCCCATGAAGGATAGTGAGGAGTTTGAAGAGATTGGGCTGTGACAGATTTTGATTGCCAGAGCTTGTGACACATGTGTTTCCCTTTACAGTTTCTCTACAATAATTGGAGTTGGTGTTGGAGCTGGAGCCTACATTCTGTCACGATATGCTGTAAGAAACAAAAACTGCTAGACTGGGGAATGGAGGTACCCCCATATTAGATAGACTGTTGTAGGCACGGTCCGAGTTCCTGTAATTCCAGCATTTGGAAGGAAATAGGGAGCAGGGTAGAGAGTGTAGGTCATATAGGAGTCTGGGGGTAGGTGGGGCTGGGTGAGGCAGGGTGGCTGCTTCTGATCTCCTTTCTATCATCTCTTAGCTGACCCACCCGGACACAGTGGAAGGTCTTGTTCTCATCAACATTGATCCCAATGCCAAGGGTTGGATGGATTGGGCAGCCCACAAGGTTTGGAGGGGCTTGAGTTCTGACATCTAGGGTGGAGCCTTCCCTTGGATGAGGGCACAGTGGGGCACAGCTGTGTTGCTTTACCCGGGGCCCCTATCCGCACAATGTCTTGAACTTCTTCAACTGCCCTTGCAGTTAACAGGCCTTACCTCTTCCATTCCGGAGATGATTCTTGGACATCTTTTCAGCCAGGTAAGTGGTTGTGGAAGGTGGAAGAAGCCGAAGTAACCAGCAAGGACTTAAATGCTGCAATAGGATCTGGGGTGTGAAGACAGTTTTAACCATTGTTGGCTTCTTTTTCCAACCCTCGTTATCTCTTGTGTGCTTCAGGAAGAGCTTTCTGGAAATTCTGAATTGATACAAAAGTATAGAAATATCATCACACATGCCCCGAACCTGGAGAACATTGAACTGTATTGGAACAGTTACAACAAGTGAGTAGGTTATGTACGAATGGAGAAATGGATGTGGAGAGAGGGCCCTGTGCAGTGGGCAGGGCAGGCAGGGTTCCGAATGCAGCTTTAGGACAGGAGTAATGGGATCTCTCATTTTTTAAAAAATTTTATTTAGTGTGCATTGGTGTGAGGGTGTCACATTCCCCGGAACAGAGTTACAGACAGGTGTGAACTGCCATGTGGGTGCTGGGAATTGAACCCAGGTCCTCTGGAAGGGCAGGCAGTGCTCTTGACCTCTGAGCCCTGAGCCGTATCTCTCATTCTTATACCCTTCCTCACCCTTAACTGCCTCTGACCAGAGATCTAGGGCACAAGTGATTGTTGGTGGTGTGCTTTTGGCATGTGCTGCTCCCCCCCTTTAACTGCTGAGGGATCAAACCCAGTGCCTTGTAGGCTGCAACCCCAGCCCCTGGTGTTAACTTTTCATTACCAATAGATGACTGTAAAAAAGGGAGATAGTGTCCTATGAAGAACGTAGTGTATCTAGATAGACAGCATTGCTTATTAAAAACAACTTCTCTTTGAACCCTTTCTAGCCGCCGAGACCTGAACTTTGAGCGAGGTGGTGAGATGACCCTCAAGTAAGATGTTGGTAGATACAGCTTTGCCCTGTTCCTGGACTGTCCCTTGGTACCAGCACCCCTTAGCCTTTGTAGCGAACTTACCTGTCTCTAACTCCATTCTGTGTATCAGCTTGCCTTCCTTTGGGGCTTCCCCTTTTGGGCCTCTTGCTGAGTCAGCAGGAGAAGGAGGCTGGTTCCTCCTTGAAGCCAGGCATTTCTCTAGCTGCTGTCCTGGGAAGGGGTGGGTGAGGAAGTGCAGGGCTCACTGCCTTCTCCCTCGCCCTCTAGGTGCCCTGTGATGCTGGTGGTAGGAGACCAAGCACCTCATGAAGATGCTGTGGTTAGTAGTGACGTTCGGGTAGTGAGGGAATGTCGGGGTTATAAGTTGATCTTGCCAAGGGACAAACTCTGGGACAGGAGGAGCAACTAATTGGGTAGGGGGCTGACAAGGAAAGAGAAAAGAACAGGGTCCCTTGGAGGGAAGTGCTGTGGGGAGGGCAAGCTCATTCCTTCAGCCTCCTACTTATTCCAGGTGGAATGTAACTCAAAACTGGATCCCACACAGACCTCCTTCCTCAAGGTCAGTAGTCCTCTTCCAAACCTTGCTTGCTTCTGGGCCCCCAATCCAGGACTGTACATACTCTAAATTCCAGCGTTTAAGCCTTGTGGGTTCATTATGGGTCAACGAAGAAAAGAACAAAGGGACTATGTGAGGAAGGCGGTAGGAAAGAACCCCTTTCCCTCTGCATGGGCCATCTGATCTATCCATATATCCTTCTTTTCTGGGTGTTCTTTCATGGATAGATGGCTGATTCTGGAGGTCAGCCGCAGCTGACTCAGGTGAGTACCCCCCCCTCCCCACCATGGGATGGGGAAATGGGGTGAATTATTAGTGTCATTGATCTGTGTGCCCTTTGCCACTGCTGTGGCCTTGGGCTTTCACGGTGTCTAACCCTATCTCTCCTGACTCCCCTCTCTCCTTGTAACACGCCCACAGCCAGGCAAGCTGACTGAGGCCTTCAAGTACTTCCTGCAAGGCATGGGCTACAGTGAGTATTGGGACAGAGGCTGCTATGAAGGGAACAGATGGTCATTATAAGGGCGGACTTATTTGAGGTTGATGCTTGGATTCACACTTCTCAAGCTCGCTGGCTCTCTGGCCCCAGTTATTGCTTTTGCCTTCGCCTAGGCACCCACTTAAAGTTACCGGCCCCCGCCCTGGAGAATCTCTGATGGCTGGCTTATCATTCTGTTTCCACAGTGGCCTCATCCTGCATGACTCGCCTATCTCGGTCTCGTACGGCATCTCTGACCAGTGCAGCCTCCATCGATGGCAGTCGGTCCCGCTCCCGCACCCTGTCACAGAGTAGCGAGTCTGGGACTCTCCCTTCTGGACCCCCGGGGCACACCATGGAAGTCTCCTGTTGAATGACCCTCATTGCCCTGGTGTGGAACCCAGCCCCATCTCCTGAAGCACTAACCTGAGAGGTGTATTGGGCCAGAGTAAGCAAGGAAAACGGGCAGATCATGCAGGGAGATGACCTTGATCTTTAATTGCTACCCTAACCTTGACCTTTAACCTGTGACTTCCTCTAGCTCCTAGGAGAGATGCCCTAATATCTCTTAGAGATCCAGGCCTCCTAAATTATCCCCTCTCCCATTTTGGTGTTGAGAAGTCTTGTGTCTTCTCTCCCTGACCTAGGTGTCTGTAGGTGAGGAATAAGAAGCTGTTATAGCTGCCATGGGGCCTTCGTCACTCCCTCTCCTTATCCCATATTTGCAAGGGTAGGAGAGTTGGGGGTGTGTGTGTGTGTGTGTGTGTGTGTGTGTGTGTGTGTGTGTGCGCGCGCGTGCGTGCGCGCGCGCGCGCACACACGCACACGCATGCTTGAATGCGTGTATAGGTAGGGGTGGGAGATGGGAGCTCCATTCCCCCAAAGGTGACAGTGGCTTTGCCTTGACTTTTCAAGCCTCTGAAGGCATTGGGCCTAAATGAATGTGTATTTGGGAGGCTTGCTGGTGGGTCAGTGATCCTTAAACTGTGACAGAAATATCCAGCATGTAAAAAATAAAGTTAGAATGGGAAATGGTGGGCAGTGAATCAGAACAACGGTAGAAGGATTGGAGCTGGGGCAGTAGAGTGGGGCCTGGGCCATTTGACTGCACTAACTTTGGTAGCTATCAGTGTATGCCTAGAGTGGGACTGGGGGAGAGAGCTTAGGTCAGACTGCTTGGGCTTGGCATAAGGGTGGGAAGGGCTACCTCGGGCTCTGACCATACTGTTATGTGTAGAGCGTGACCTCCTGTCTCTCACTTCTGCTGTGACAATAAACTATAGAGGAAACTGAGCACCATTATTAATCGTGGTCTGAATGCTTGCATCCTTCCCCTTTCCTGTCTTCTCCTTGCTCCTCTTAAAGTGCTATAACCCGGGAGATGGCTTGTGGAGTGCAAACACTTCATAGAATGTGATCGTTGGATATTGTTCTATTCATCGTATTTTTAAGTTTGGTAAAGAGGACTTTTGAAGACTTCCTTATTATTTGTGGGTTGTTGAGAAAGACTAGGACTTCAGAGATGTCATCAGTATCATGCTCTTGAAGAAAGCTGACTGAGGGGCTGGAGAGATGGTTCACTGGCTACTCTTCCAGAGGACCTGGGTTCGATTCCCAGCACCCACATGGCAGCTCACAACCACCTAGAATTCTAGTTTCAGGGCATCTAACTCCCTCTTTTAACTTCCAAGGGCACTAGGAGTCAAGATAGTTCCAGCAAAAGGGAACTTCCTTTGAGGATTTTATTCACTGATGGACTCCAGGGGATGTGTATAGTTCCCCAAGAGCCTGTTAAACAAATACGAGTAACAAACAGTGGAGGTTCAGATGTCTTGAAGCTGGTGTAGCTTGATTCTTGGGCTCTTGAGGCAATAGGAGGAGGGGCTAGGGAGGTGGGTCAGGAGGTAAAGTCCTTGTACAATCACAAAGACCTGTGTTCAGATCCCTAGCACACGGTTTGGCTGTGCACCTGTGATCCCAGTGCTGGGAGGTGGAGACTGGAGGACCCAGGATGCTCAATACCTGGCTTGTTTGGCCAATCAAACTTGTTTGGGCACCAGTTTCAGTTGGGACCTAGTATTTCAAGAATTTTCTTCCTGGGCATTTGGAACTAAGCAATGTCTAGCTCCTCCTCATGAGGTCCCAATGACAAACCAATGTTCATCCTGGGACTTTGGATGACCTGAGACTGGATGACCTTAAGACAGGCACACTGAACAGTGCACCCCACATCGGTGATGACTCCCCATTACTGTTCAGGCAGAACTCCCTCTTAGTTTTCCCCAGGCCATATGTAGATAGCTCCTTTATCAGTCCAAGACCTCATGGTGAATGTAGAAATGGTTGGGAGGAGAGGCTGGCTTCTCAGGCGCGGGTCCAGTGGCCCTGTTCCCTTCAACAGGCCTAGCTATGAGGATCTTTTACAAATGACGATGACGGCTGTTTGATTTAGAGGGTTGTGATGGACAATACCCAGTCTCAAAAAATTAGGTGTAGCATGACGGAGGAATACACTCAAGGTCCACCTCTGGCTTTCACATGTGGGTGTACATACATACACTTAAACACTTAGGAACGCACCACACACACACACACACACACACACACACACACACACACAAATGAGAAAGCACTTTATACAAGTGTTAGAAGGAACCACATGATAGACAATTATGGGGCTTTTAAAGTTTGCTTTATGGAAACCTCAATTGTACTGAGTGGCAGGCTGGAACCACTTGGCATCAAGCGCTCCGATCAGACATGGTAGTGACAGACTTATGTCCTTGATGCTGGTGCTTTTTTTGTGCTGGGGATTGAACCCAGAACCTTGTGCATGCTCTACTGTTGAGCTATGGTCCTAGCCCTAATCCCATTTAGATGTTGTAGGCCAGTGTCAGAAAAGGGTGTTAACAGGTTAGAGTTAGCTGTTGGATGGGTCAGGAAACAAAGATTGCTGAAATGACACAATGATGAAAAACAAAGCATGGCCACAATCACTGGGATCGTTTAGCAAACATGAGGAAAAAGTGAAAAACTAAGGCCCCAATGAGTCTTTATTGGTATAGCTTCTGTTGTGTGTTATGGAAGGGAGGATAGCTCTTTGCTTTTAGTACCTGCCTACAAAGGTCATATTGTTAGCAGAGTAATTTTCACAACTGGAGACAAATTTGATTTAAGTGTACATGTATCTGGATACAACTATAGATGTTTGTGTTCCAGAAATCTAAGGT